AAGGGTCCCTGTGTGTAGCTCATTCAGTCGCCAAGAACCAACTTCTGCACACAACATGTACCTCTTTTTGTAAAACCTCCTCCCTAGCTATGGTCAATGAAGGGATCAGGACCATCTTCCAAACTAATATAGGATTGGAATTAGCCTTAGTATTGGTTTTGGAGGATACCCCAACAGTTAACACAACAAGTGTGATGTAGTGGTTTGAGTGTTGAACTCTAGAAAACCAGGGTTTGAATCTCTGTTCAGCCATGGAAACCATTGAATGATCTTGAGCAAATCTATTCTCTCAGTCTCAGAGGATGGCAGCAACAAACCTCTTCTGAATATATCTTGCCAAGAAAACCCAGTGATAGGTTTTGGAAACTTTTTGACGGCATACAACTATAACCAAACTACTTATGAAAAAATGCGAAGGATGTGTTATAGGTAGTAAAGATTTTGAGTAAAGATTAAATTAACACAAATGGTACTTCTTGCATGAAACACTGGTGTGTCTAAAGGAGTAAAGTGTGTATTGTGTTTATGTGCCTTCAAATTATCTGTTGACCTATGGCAACCCTCTGAATTTTATAGGGTTTTCTTAGGTAAGCAATCTTCAGGTGGTTCTGCCAGTTCCCTCCTCTGAACTATAACTTACAACATCTGGCATTCGTTGACAGTTTCCCATCCAAGTACCAACCAGGGCTCACCATACTTAGCTTCCAAAATCAGACAGGATCTGGTGCCTTTAGGGTATTTAGCCCAAAGTAGTAATGTGTGTGTGTGTTGTGTGCCTTCAAGTTGTTTCTGACTTAATGGTGAACTTATATGAGAGTTTTCTTGGCAAGTTGCTTCAGAGGGGGTTTGCAATTGCCATTCTCTGAAGATGAGACAGTGTGATTTGCTCAAGGTCACGCAGGGGGTTTCCATGGCTGAATGAGTAATACTCTGCTTTAAAAACAACACATATATTTAGACATGGATCCTGTTTATTTCGATGGAACTTACTTCCATTTAAAAGGTGTAGAATTGGAGTGTTGGTGCTACAGGTAGGAGTTCCTGAATAATATGTATGATGAGAAGGAAACATGTGTGTGATTGATACTTTATGTATGCATAGATTAGTCTATAGATGCAAACCAACAAGAAAATGCAAGGCTCAAACTCTTTTCTTTCATCCAGGTCTTATAGAAGATCCAAACCCATGAGAAGATGGGACTGCTGGTATTCATGCGTAATGTCCTGCTAGCCCTTTGTCTATTTCTGGTGTTGGGATTTCTCTATTACTCAGCATGGAAATTGCATCTTCTCCGATGGGAGGATTCAAGTAAGTATACTTGATGTGCAGACTATGCAAGAGTCTCCACTGATAAAGCTAAACAATTTTTATATTTTTCAGATTTGCCTTCAGTTGAGCAGCCTGGAATGAACTTCTTCATTTGCTGAACCCTTTAATGAGCTGTAGAGCTTAATTTACCATTTTCTTAATATTCTTGTTATCTAGATTGATTAAATGAGATACTGGGGAAAACAACTGTGGATTTCCTGCCCTTTCTTAAATGTAGCATCATTTGCAGATTTGAGCCTACCTGTTCAATGATCTGTCAAGAGGCATGTGGATCTACTGGCTTTATTTGTTACTTTTTTATTTAAAAAATTATATGACTGTGAGACTGCTATTGTCATCTCACTCTTCTTGTCTTCCGTTAGCTTTAACATACATCTGTATGGGCACTTGTCTTGCTTTACGTTAGCTGTATACCTGACCTGCATGGTATTCATTGAGTGCAATGCAAATTTTGCAAATGCAGAATTGAGTTGGAGGAATCAAGCTCATAAATAGATGCAGCCATGGCGTTAGTGTTTACATGGTTTCAGGAGTCGCTTTAGTACAAAGTGCATTGTGCTTCCTCTTCCATTAAAGTTTTATCTACCAAGAGACAACTTCAAGTGAAGTTTCATATGTAGCCTTTATTTAAATAGAGGGGGGGCGAGGTTGAAATGATTTGCTTTTCCAGGGTTCCATTAAATTTGGAGAAATGTTTTCATTAAGAAAGATTTGATTAGGTTCAGGATGTGAGTCGCTGAGTTATATATACTTTGTACAGAATAATCTGGGGCATTAGCCTTATCATTTCTCTTAACTTACTCTGAATGTGTTTTCCCCCTTCTCTTTCCCTTGGAATGTTTAGTATCTTGTTTTCACATGTTGAGTCAGTAAAATTAATGGCCCCAAAATCTCTCTCACATGAATGCTTCTGCTGTATGAATGGGATTTTTTTTAACAACTTGTTTAGTGTTTGTGAAATTACTTTAATTTTGGTCTTTGGGGATTTTTTTAACAACTCGGTTATTGTTTGTGCAGATTACTTTAATTTTGATCGTTGGTTGAGGATACTTAAAATAGTGATTCATCTGGCTGGAGGAAGCAACACAGCATATAAATTTAATGTAAACATGCGGTCGTATGCTTTCTACATCCTGTTGTATCATTTTCCATCATCACTTTTCCTGACAGCAGCAAAATTATTGCAGGAGGCCTTTCACAGTTTGCCTCAGACTTTCATATATTGATCACAAGACTTGATTCACTTGTGTATACAATAAAAAAGGTTCTGTGGTGATATAGGAAGAAGGTCTGATATTGCTTTGATATTGGCAGTGGCTTAGCCTCTTCAGTTTTATTAGTGGCACGTGTACTAGATTTTTCATATTTTGATATGATATATTAGCTTTTCAGTGGCTGCACATGTCAGACATCCTGTTGTACAGTTGCTTGTTATATCACACCAAATCTCAATCCTGGCTGCAATCATTTTGATATGAACTTTGAATATAGTAGGGCACTTAATTGCCTCAGGGGAATTAAAAAATGATGTGTGTGTGTGTGTGTGTGTAGGAATTGAGTTTTCCTGAGGAATTAAAAGTATTCAAAGTACACCAAAGAAGTACCTTAATCTGTTATTTGTTTACTTAGAAACAAATTGTTTACTTAGAAATTTATTCCCTACATAAATTATTTAGATAAAATGTTTTTGTAGCTAAGTGGTTGTAGGATTGCAACTTCAGCTTAAGCTTGCTAACGGATGCCAAAATGCAATAAGGTCCATTGGAAGAGGAAATACGAAAGTACAAATTGTATGCTAGTGATCGTATGAATATTCAGAACAGTATCGATGATATGTGCTGTTAAGCATAGGAGCTGAAATGAAAGATAGGTCATTTGGTTCCTCTGGTATTGTCTTTGTACGTAAAGTTTGAGTTGCTGGCTTTATTTGTTAAATAAGTAATATTCTCATAATGAATGAACACAACCCAGCCAAAGTTAAGTACCTTGAAGTTTTATTGATGTCAGTAGGAAATTAAAACATACACTGAGGTTCCCCTTACTTTGAAAGGAACATGCCCAATCTTTTTGTTCTTTGAGTTTGATTGCACACTTGTATGTGTGTATGTATCATATACTAGCTCAGCATAATATTTAATACATTTGATGGGCTCTTGTCCATGAAAGCATATAGTCTAAGCTTGTTCGTCTTTACCCTTTGTTGATTTTTACATAGGCTTTCCCTTTGCAACTTGAGTTAAGTGTTTTGTTCTGTCAGCAGCGTTAAAACCTCCCTGTACTGCTGTCTCTTTGGAGGGCATGATTCCAGTGACAGCCTCTTTTAAAATAGTAATAGAAGTGCACTGTTACCTAGTAACTGTAGATGATGAAGATACAGAGTACAGTGGGTCTTGATCTTCATTTGTAATAAAATAGATAAAATAAATAGAATAAAAGTTAGTATTCTTGTTTGCTATATGCTATGATCACTGAGTTGAAGCATGACATTTATTTATTTATTTCTATTTGATTTGATTTATATTTTGCCTTTCTCCCAAGTGGGACCCAAAGCAACTTGCAATATTTGTCAAAATAGCTAAAACAATGCATGATACAAATGTTAAAACAGCATTAAACAATCAATCCAGTTAAAACATTACTTTTAAAGCATTAATTTAAAAATAATTTAAAATTTCCAAAACACATAATTACATATTAAAATATCAACCCTTCCTTCTACCCCAGCCTGATTGTTTAAATAGGAAGGACTTTACCTGCTGGTGAAAAGAGAACAGAGGGGGGGCCAACTGCGCTTCCTTGTGGAGATATATCACAGCCTGAGAGAAGCCATTAAGAATGCTCTCTCCCCTGTGTGCTTACCAATGAGCTTGGGAGGGCTTGGAGTAACTGAGAGACAGCCCTTTTATGAAGACTGAGTTTTAATAATAATAATAATAATAATAATAATAATAATAATAATAATAATAATAATAATAATTTTTATTTAATACCCCGCCCCTCTGAGCACAATCAGGGCGGCTTACATAGTAAAATTATCAACAGCAATTAAGAACAATTACCTCCCCCTCCCCATATGGGAAGATACAGGCTTTCAGCTAGTCTGGACCTAAGCCTTATGGGTTTTACAGGTCATAACCAGCATTTTGAATTATACTTGAAAACACATTGGTAGACCGTAATGCTTTTTTCAGCAAGGGAATTATATCCTTCCTTATAACCAGCCCTAGAGCCAGTGTGGTGTAGTTGTCTGAGTGTTGGACTATAACTCGGGAGATCAGGGTTCAAATCCTTGCTTGGGCATGGAGACCCTGGGTGACCTTGGGCAAGTAATTCTCTCTTAGCTTCAGAGGAAGGCAAAGGCAAACCCTGTCTGAACTAATCTTGCCAAGAAAACCCTTGATAGGTTTGCCTTGGGGTTTCCATACAAAACGACTTGAACACACACAACAACAGCAACAATAACTAGGTCTGTGGTCTAGCCACAGCTGAGCACACTGAAACAAGATAGAGCTGTTCCTAGTTAATCAGAAGGTAGATCAGAGAATAGGGATTGAACCTGTGCTGGATGGGGTTACACTCTCACTGAAATATCAGGTTTGTAGCTTGGGCATATTCTTGGACTCAGGCATAAGCCAGAAGCCCAAGTATTGGGGGTGGCTGGGAGTCGGCTTGCATCACCTTCTAAGTGCACCCTCCAGGAAGGGCTGGAGCCATTGTAAAACAGCACCTCAAAGTCCCATGTCAGAAAGGTGGCCCAGAGGGCTACTATGATTGATAGTATCAAAAGCTGCTGAGAGGTCCAGCAAAACCAGTACAGGCACACTTTCTCTGTCCAGTTCCTGGCATAGGTCATCTGTCAACGTGACCTAAGCCATCTCTGTCCCATAACCAGGGCTGATGCCAGATTGAATTAGATCTAGATCATGGCATGTTTAGCTTTAACATATAAAAGTCTCATCAGAGGAGACAAGCAGCTTCCTATATATCCCCTTGCCTCAGGTAGGCTGCCTTTCTTGTGCACCATTCAAGGCTACTTCTAAATAACAGATGTTAAACTGGAACCTGCTTCCTCTTCCCCCCCCCCCCCACACACTACCCATTCCAGGCAGTTAAAATTTCTATTCTTATCCTTGGCTTCTTAAAAAGGGATACAAACTGTATTAGGTGGTATGCAGTATTTCCAGGCAGGAGGTTTCAGATGGAATTTTACTAAAATATATTTGAACTCCAAGCCTGAATATAAAAATTGTGATTTTTTTTTTGCCTGAAAATTGGGTAAAGTTGTTTTGCCCTTATTAGATTCATCCAGGAGATACAGCTATGCCATTTGTGGTAGAATTGGGGGACCTCCAACCCCTCCCAGTCTAAAACAAACACCTCCCCCCCAAAGAGGACTAGAAGTCACTTCCATTTGTATTTGTCTCCCCCCCAACATTTTGGGGGTTTCACGTTGTCCACAGAAGGACCCAGTGATTAAAAATGGACTCCCAGATCTTCTGAAGATGCCCACTTCTGATGTAAATGATCAGGAAGCAGTATATTTGTATATCTGAAATTTCAGTATATCTGAAATTTCAGTATGTTTCTTAACAAGGGTTTGCAATTGGATGTCACAGTAGCAAACAAATCTTAACATATTAATATATTTTTAAAAAAATTCCCCAAAGAAATAGGAAATGTGTTGCTTAAACAATTGCAGTGAATTGGTCCATCTAGCCCTCTGTTCCATATGGCAGCAGATCACCATGGCCTAAGTAAGACAGAGGTCTTTTTCTGAATTTGGGAATTTGTATATGTGGCTCTGACAGTGAACTGTGAAAACTTAGCACTTCAGATCTCATCCATTGTGATCTAACATGGGGTGCTTGGTGTGATGTTTGTTTTTCAAAAGAAGAAGCTGAAGAATGTAGACGAGCAGACATATGTAATGCCTTTGGATGACTCTGCTTTGACTTGACACCTTCCGGTAAGTATCATCACATCATGACATCTGCTCATTCTTAGCATGTCTCATACAGTATCCTTGCTGAATTCCTGTGCCTTCACTTTTCTGGCAAGTACAAATCAGTATTCCAACAAACTACTGCCACAAAACTATGGATGATGATGATGATGATAATTATTTAATAATATTAAAATAAGAAAACCTCGAAGTAGCTTCTGAAACTGGTCAGCAGTCAGATTTGGGCAAGTTCCTGTTGCTGAAATGGGAAAACAGTCACATTCTTCCTGTTGTTGTCAGTTGCTTTTCTCCTATTATATTGTGAAAATAGTCTGAGGCAGAAAAGGACTGATTGCAGTGTTTTATTTCCCCCCAGAATGTCTGTTTCTATGGGAACAAAAACAAGAGGCATGAGCAAATAGTTTGATTTTCTCTGCCACTGGTGGTAGATTCTGCTTTTGCTTCTATTTTTGTGATACAAAGTCTTATCCTCATAAAACCAGCCTGAACGGATGTTCTTAAAAAAAATACCTTTCAGACTTTATCTGAAACTCCTCTGGGGTCGTGCAAATAATCCAGGATGGAGTATAATCCATTTCGGAGGGCCAGTCATGCTTGGCATTTTCCTGCACCATTTTCTTTAGTTTTTTTTTTTTTTCATTTTCTTC